AAATATTTTTGGTCATATCGCCCTGCTCTACTTATGACCTAAATGAGAAGAAAACAGCATCCCACAACAAGATATCACTTTCCTACTAATCATGTTTAGACCTTTACACAGTAGCACATGGCTTGACATTCTCCCTTAGGGTTCAGGGGCTAACTTATTTTCATTAAGTGCTGTCATTCATTCAGTCTCTGTTTTCTCCATCAAAAAATGGGCCGCAGTGAGTAAGGAGGGCTGCATGCCTGCACAGTGACCGCAGCGTTTCATGTACACAGGCTGGAATGTGACGCAGTTGACCGTCGGTGTCTGATAGCTGGCATCTGCTAGGTGGGCTCATTCCACCGCAGCACAGCAGAGGCTTAGGTGGTACTGAGAGAAACTCTACACCTCTGCAAGGCAGGCAGGGGCATGAGAACACAGCATCACTAATGCTCATCAACCATGACCCCTGCCAGGGACCCTGATGAGCACATCAGTTTAATGTATCCATCTGGGATTGGCAGAGTGGCAGAAGGCTCACAAGTCCACTGCAAACTCAGAGATTACAGAAAGATGGTCACTATAGACAGACAGTAGGACGGATGGATAAATAGATGGATGGATGAATGGTGTAATGAAAGAATGGCTGGGGTGGGTAGATGGATGGATGAATGAATGAATGGAGAGACTGATGCGTCATTGGATAGCCTGTTCTCAGTATGCATGCTGCTTGGATCATTACAACAACAGCAGTGATGAAGTAAGAACAGACTGAGTCAGAGAGGATCACTTCCACTGATGTCAGAAAATTTGATCTAGTTCTGGGAAGCTAGCTTTAACAATCTCATCACTTCTCAGCTGTCAATTTCACAACATGGGTTGCAACATGTACGATCATGGAAAATGTGCTATATAAGACCCTTGACAAATCTACATGCGAGGTGTAAAAATATTTTGATCAGTCTGGCTTCAGACTGTATAAATGGATTAAGCTAGTGAAACAACATACTTGTATTCATATTTCATATGATGCCAAGTTTAGCAAATGACCAGCTGTAAAGTAGGTTTGCCACGAGGCAGTGCTCGAAGACCAATCCACAATAACACCATGTCTTTCTCATGATTCTGTGGATTTTTTAGTCTTGTGCTTCACTTCAGTGCCAGAGGAGCTGCACAGTGTACTCCAAACATTCACAATTAGCAGACACCTGCCTACTGCTTGAATTAGACTTTATTTATTACCTTTCATATTAAATATAAGCAATTCTTGGAGGTGTTTAAGAAGAAAACATTTGTGAAACACTAATAAACTTATTTTCCCAGCGTTTCTCTTCCAAGTCAAATGCTTACAGCTGTGCTTAGACTGGTGTATGAGCACAGCTGCTCAGACTTCCTTCTCCCATGACACCAGGCTTCTGCTCGGGGGATGCTGAGATGTTTCCAAGCCAGCTGAGAGACAAAGTATATCCCGACTCTGCCCAAGGGTCTTTTTCTTCTTTGGCCATGTCTGAAACACCTCACACGCTGACCTTGTGATTCTATCTCAGATGGGAAGCTTGTCAGCCTTGCCTTCGCAAATGGCGCCGTATGACAAGGGTGATGCAGCATCGACTGGTGCGAGCTAGATTTTGGTGTCATTTTAGCCTGTTGTGCACCTCTCAGTTTTTGTAAGCACATGTAGGTTCTGCGGCTGCTTTTACTAACATTTTATTGCTCCACGAGTACAAAAGCTTGTGGATTCACAGATTATACAGAGGACGATATTGCAATAGTTTGAAAAAAAATGAGACTTTGCTTCCAGTTTTAACTTATTCTCATTGTACAGCAGCGCTGATGTGAAGGTTTTGTCTGAGTAGTGACACCTAGTGTTCAGGAAAATACTGCAGAAAGTAACCACGCCCTCAGTGCTGGTAGAACTGCTATAGAAATGTGGCGACACGCGTGTCGCAACACAGCCTAACAACAGGTATAACAGGTCTATAAGTGTGAGTCCAGGCAGGTATAAGTGTCTTTCAGTTGCTACCATTAGCTCATGGGCAGAGATAAAGCTCAGATTTTAAACTGACCAATCAAATTGACAGCTTTGCCTCTAGGCTCAGCTCTCTCCTCATAAAATCTGAATAGATGATGCAGATGCTTCACCAATCCATCTGTCCACTCTTTCCCCCACTTGTGAACAAGATTCTGGGATACTTAAAAACCTGCAGCATTAACAACAGGCCCAGTACCCCGTTCTCCTGAAGCATCTCCCACAGGACACCCAAGAGAGTCATAGATACATGACAGACATAGAGTGGTCAGGCAAACTCCAATGAACTGTCTTCACACAAGGCAATTTCCCATGACTCTGAGAGCTGATAGTAATCCAAACTAATGCTTGGATTAAGAGTCTTAAACCACTGTATCCCACCCACCCTTAAGCCCCAAGAAAATAGCCTCCCTGCTGACAAGCAGTTCCGAACCAAATCTCAGCTTTGTCTCCGGCCGTGGGCACAGCACTGAGCTGCTGATAGGTTTCTCATCAACATAGACCAGGCTGGTGTAGGGACAGGAAGCGTTTGTCTCTGTCAGCAGGTTGCCAGGGTGAATTCTGGGAGTTAAGCCTTCTATGCATAGCATTCTCAGTTCCCACATCTCCCTCCCCCAGCTCAGTGACCATCCACGCCAGGAACAAAACCCTGGGAATGCGAGCTATGCAGAGCTGCAGCTCGGAGACACCTGTTCAGGCAACCACCACGGGTCAAACTCTCCTACACGGAGCCTCGTCTGAGTCACAGCATTTGACCCCACCCTAACCTCCGCTGCTCCCACATACACACTCCAGAGAACTATGTGCACAAAAAACAAAAGAAAATCATCTGGCAGCAGGGATTTGCACAGTCAATTTCCAGGATGCAAACATTTGTACCTTGACCCCTTCAATCATCACTAAGAGTCCCTGAACCCACTAACCATGACAAACCTGATTTAATGAAACCCTCTGTCATGATGCCCGACTGCTGACCTCACAAACAAGCTGGAGTAATGAACTTGACTAAAATACTTACAAAGTCTCCTGAGAGACTTTTCCTGCCCATTTGGAATGCAGACTAAAGGCCTCCTACCTTTTCTAGACAAGATTTGAAGAAAAAAAAAAGCTGGGTTATTCCCAGTGAGAGCACAATAGGTGGCCAAAAAACTGTAGATTAAACCACATGTCAGCTCTTCAGAAAGTCCCCTCAGTGGCAGTGAACCATGAGGAAAAGAAGGTCGTCCTCTTACTGTCTTTTTTTTCCCCTTTTCACTCTCAGCCAAAGCACCACAAATGTGGTAAAAGGATACGAACAAAATCACTACTGAGTGATGGGACACAGTTCAGGCACTTTACCTGCCAGCAAGCAGTGAGAGGTTTATTCGAAATTAAGTCACCTAGACATTGATTTAAATTTGGAAAAACCCTTGAATTCAATGGGATGTTTGCCAGTGAAGTCCAGCTTTCTTTTAAATGAACTGTTTCCTCCAAACATCACTGCACTTCCTCTTTTACATGAGAGCCACATTTGGAGTCAGTGGTTATGCAGAATTTAACTTTCAAGGGACTCAGAGGAATAAGAGGAATTGAAAACAACAGCTTAATTTGGCAAATTATACTGGTGTCTTGGGTCTTTTGGCCACTTCAAGAAACTCTTTATAGGAAGATACTTTCACTTCTGGACTATAAGGCACTCTTAAGTAAAGATGCACAAAGGGTGTGAGCTATAAGGATTATGAAGGAATTGTGTGAGACAAAACACACATACACCTGCTCGATCATGATTATGCACATTCAAAATATGCAAAACCAGTGGCTGAACTGGGAGGCGGTGGCAGCTGGCCAAGTGCTGAGTCTCCCGGTGTGGCAGCCCAGTCAGAGGCTTGGCGATGTCAGCCAGTGTCAAGCTCCGTGTCACCGTACTTGACTTCGCAGGGCACAAGGGCTCTGTATTCCCTCTGTCCACACTACAAGGCGTGGATAGAGGGGGGAGGAGCTTTACGTTGTAGGTGTGTGTGCTTGTGGAAAGGTTGTCTTTATGCTTGGTTTGTGTGTATTTTACCAGGCTGGACTACCTGTGTCGTGTCATTAGGTTGTACATGTAGCCGTGCATGTTGCTATCACTAATAACAACTTATTACTGTCATTTCGAAACATTGTTGTGGGCCCTGCAACGCAGCTGCGTTCACTTCCCCACGGAAACCGCACACGAGAAAAGCCGTCAGGTGAAATTTTATTTACTAAAAAGGCGATATTAGGAAAGAATTTCACATTTCACTGCGCATATAATGTCGAAAGAAGGGGACGAGGTTAGCATTTCATTCGAATTAATCAATTTTACCGTGTAAAATTTGGCACAAGTCCCAGACGGTTACTTTTATATTTTGTAGGTTGGTAACAACTGAAGTTCGCTGTTAGGTTAGCGCATACAAAGCAGCTCCACCTCTATTACACTGTTACACGGCTAGTCTCGCTACCTATAGCCTTACGCTTTTCCCCCATGGAACCGCTGCAATATTCACGGCAGCTTTTATTTTAAATACAAATATATTAGTTTGTTTTCATTGTTCTGACAGCTGTGAGGATAAATAACGTGATGGTTCTACTCACTCGGAGTTCGGAGTTGAATGGCCACGGTGTAGCTACTCCACTGGTTCTTTCGAGGACAAAACTTTTCACTGGTTTTGTTTCCCACTTTTAAAACCGTCTGTTTTTTCCCTTGTAGACCCTTAACTCATCCCCGCTCTCTGCGGTGTGTGCTGAGCTTTCAAAACGTTACGCCTCGGCAGACAGTGCCACTCTCCAAGAATCGTAAAGTGCTCTGTCAAGGGGCTGACTTGGAAGCGGTTTGTATATTTAGACACAGCGTTAGCGGGAGGGCGTGCAACAACACAGAGCTGTTCTGAGATCTGTGCCGCGCGGAGCTTTCACCACCCAGGCAACCCCATCCGCTCGTTCATTGGTCAGTGTTCTATCGAGGCGTGTCCAGAGATTCATTCTACATTTTAATTGGCTTGTTTTCGTTGTCCGTCATCCGCAAACGCCTTGTAAACTTGCCTTTCCGTAGTAAGCAAGGAGGCACAATTACAATTAAAAATCAGGTCGCTGAGGAAATATGTTTATGGACACATTGATGGGAAATTTACAGAAGTGCGTCCAAAGCAAAGGTTATGTGTGCCAGTTTAATCATACGGAGTGAAGTAATTCATTTTCATTTATCGACAAGTATCATAGTAGAACTTTTTTTTCCCTATTTTTTTAAAAAAAAGCTGAAAAAAACGGAACTAGAAAATCAAAACCCATAAGAATCTAGTGTTCAGGTGAGTTTCTGTACCTTTCCTACTAAAGCCATAAAAGTGGTGTGATACCTCCTCCTACCGGTCATATTAAGATAGAAAGCAACAAGTTGCCCAATGAAGGGCCAGAAGTGATTTGATTTAATTCTGCTTTATTCCTAAAACAAATAAACGCATACGTAAATAAATATATTAATTAATTAATGTAATTTTAATATAGCTCGGAGACATCATACACATGGACACACGCAACACTGGACGTGTGTGAAGTTCCTGAAATATGCTAACAATAGAAACACCCCCTGTTTGTGGCCTCTTGTCCCCACATTAATTTGCACTGTGAGCCAAAATGCTTAACTGCAGCTTCTTTTGTCCTCGGGCTTGGGATATGATGTGGGCTGCATTGTCTGGGAACAATGGACTCCTGCAGCCCCCTTGTGACAGCTACTCACTCTGAAACTTTAATACAACCTGGTCAAACTCTGTTAGGAAATGGCTTCATGTAGTACGCGTTTATTATAGTCCATAACGATTCCTTTGGGGATTTATATATTTATGTTTGGATTTGTCTTTTTTTATCATTACTATATCCCTTTCATAAATTTTTGACAGACAGATTTTTTAAAAAGCCGACTGAAAGCCGAATAGTACAGTAATTAAAAAATGCACCCTGTTTCATTTGTTAGTCGTTTGTGGTATACCATAAACCGTGTTTTAGGTAGTGCAGTTTTATTGATTGCTGACGCTTAGATGAATATCACCTGCGATGTCAAAGTACAACCACTAGATGTCAGGAGAGAACAAGTCACTGGCCGTCTCAGCTCTGTCAACATGATATTTATTCACAATTGTTTATTCAGTATGGAGGACCACAAGAGCCACGGGCATTAAATCAAAATTCTGGGTAGAAAATAGTAATTTATCCGATGCAGCAACACAGATACACGGTTTTGCAAGTTTTGAGGGGACTCCAGTCGCTTTGTGGCCCGGATGTTGCCATAGAAAGGGGGTGTGTGTAGTTGCAGCGGTTGCAGCTAGGTTGCCAGGTCTGTAAAAAAATTGTAGTTAATGTATATATACATATATGTACTCGTCATTTTTCCAAATACCTATCAGTGACGTCATAGTTCTGGCACACGAGGTGATTTTAATGCGCCATTAAATAATTTATGTGTAAGTTTTACATATCCACATTCGGTAATGTTAAAGTAAAATTAACAGTATTAGCTTAAAACTGTCAAAACAAATATATGTACATGGCAGAGAGCAACAAAACCTCACATATATAATGTTATTAGTATGACTTGGTAAACATTTTCTGACTTCACGAAGGCGTGCTCCTAGTGGTGGATGTGGCCTATCTGGCAACCCCGGTCTCAGCTCGGCTTCTCTGCTACGTTTGCTCGGCTGTTAGAGACACGGCTGTGAGCCAGAGTGGGAGATGGACTGAGTGAGGGCGCTCTTTCGACCAGTGCAGCCGATTTAGCATTGCAATACCCAGAAGCTAGGCTGAAAAATAACTGGCGATTTCAGGTCGCTGAATCAACACGAAAACATAGTGCAGTTATCAGTCTTTCACATCCCACTCCAATCACACTAACACGGCATTGATGGTAATGTATGCAAGGAAACAACCGAGACTCGGCGATGGGTAAACACCTCCTTTTAACCTTACTTATTCACATTTTTTTCCTTTTCCTCATAGCTACGCTTTGACAATCCGCCATTTTTACTGAAACCAAAATAACTGTGTGGAAACTTGTATCCCTCACTCGCTGCGGGGCTTTCGCCGATTTCTGAACATTGACATTTGAAGCTTAAAATTCACAACTGTTTCCTTTTTCTTTGCAGGTGCGACCGAAGAGATTCTCAGCCCTATCAGGTACTTGTTAGCCAAGCGTCTCCTGCTAGCTTGCTAGCAGCAAATAAGATTAAAATGGACACTCTAGTGCAGGCTTCTGGAGAGCACAACAGGCCCCAGTCAGTGCGGAAAATAACACAAAAAGTAGAAAGGTTTGCTTAAAGCCTCCATTTAAGCCCTGTAAATGTATCCTAACGTTAGCATTGCTAGTAAAGACTTGACAGAGTGAACATATTCGTCGAAGTCGGCTGTTTTGGAAAAGGTACGGGCGAGTTTTATTACAGCTGAAAGCTAATGATAGCTTGTTACTGTTAGCTTGCTTGCTAGCCAGTCCGATTAGGGCCTGACCGCAATCTGTCATTTTAAGGATATAGCCAGTTAAGCGTCCTTAATATCAAAGTGCTTGATATTTATACAGCAAACCAGTGAATTCACTACCTAATTCAAATCGCGATAGCCAAGTGAAATGGCGAGCTAATACTCATAGGTCGGATAAAATGTTGTTTACTTCGTCATTTAACATGTGTTAGTTTGCATGCATACGTTGTTATGAGCAGAAAAACGGGCACAATTAACGTGGCTGTTAATAAGCTGATAAATAAGCTGCTCGATTTATATATATATATATATATGCATTTCCTCGTGCTAATAAATTTCTGCATCATTGAAACTATGAATGAAATGACATTACTTTAAAGAGCTGAGGACTGTGCTCACCATGGCTGCTTTTAGAAACCTGCCAATGGTGATAACAGAAGCGTAGGCCTATTTTAAGTGTGAGGTTTTTAGTAAAGCGTTTGATTTGTGTTTACAGACTCTCAAATACTCATCCAAGAGCCATCCAGGAGGGGACCACCGGCATGACAAGATGCGAGACTCTTCAGACGTCACCCCTCCCTGCAAGATGCTCAGGAGGTCTGACAGCCCTGAAAACAAGCACATCGACAGCACGGGACACAGTAGAGCAAAGGGTGTCCACACGCACCGGGCCAGAGACAGGGATGGAGGTGAGAGCGGGGAATAAAATGAGTTTAGAAAGAAATAAAGCTGCTCTCTTTAATTACTCCAGAAACGGGTGCTCTTTCTCTTAGTGAGGCACTTTTGTTTTTTTGTTTTTCTTACAACTGAGTGCTTCAGTATTGAAACTGCAGCTGTTAGGTTTTACACTGTGGGTAATCCGGCCGTGGTAGTTTTTGAACAAACAAATTTAAAATAAACGCGTTGTCAAGCTGTCGCTATGTGCTTTAAATTTAACCACTGAGCATTAGTCTCTGCAGTTTGCATTTGATTGAATGAATGGTTATCGTGGTTTCCAACCTCACAGGTAGATGTTCTGTGAGTACAGTTAAAGTTCAGACCAGAGTAAGACCACACTCTGCACAGACATTCAAGTCTTGAAGGACACGTTTTGTGGAGGGGAGTAACTGCTTTTGTTTCTTCGCCTTGGTCAGCTGCTAATTTTAACAACATTATTTCAGTACAGTTTTGTCAAAGTGGACTTTTTGGTAAACTTTGAGTAACTGGCACGCAAGCAGTTGAGTCCATGCGGGGAGTATTGTGGTGTTTTGAGCTCCTTTTCAGACATGCTCTCCTCTCTGGAATCGGAGTGTGTCAGCTGTCCTGGTCACTTTTCTGTAAAAAGTCCCTACAGCAATCTAATACTACTCGAACACTAGTAACAGTGCCACAAGTTTGCATGCAAGCAGCCACGTGATGGATAGGCTCTCACAATATAAGGACGGCACGTGTCTTTCTTTTCCAGACGAAAACAGCTGTTTGCTAACTTGTCTGACCTTTAGGCATTGGCCACATTTCATTACATTCCAGCACCAAAGATCCATTTAGCATGTGTTTAAGTGTAGGAAGTGTATCCATACCCCTACAAACTGTGTGTCTTGTCTTTCCCTCAATGTTTGATCTGCAATTTCAGTTATTTGAAATGTTTTTTTTAATGCAGTTTCATGAAGTCTTTACTGTGACGAAGACAAATGCATTGACAGTTTAGGGTTAACAAGATTCTCCATCATGAACCACAGAGCCAAAAATTCAGTGCAGGATTACAGGTGCTCCAATTAGATTTCTGCATATAAAGCATTTCTAATGTGGGAGAATCTACAATGACAGCAGTCTAATAATGTTCAGCCTAATGTTTGAATCAGTGCAAAATGACAAGCCTGGAGCACTGCAGAGATGGACCGACATCCAATCTGAACAGCAACACGTGGTCTGCTTTCTCTTTTTCTCTCTCTGTAAGATTATAGTCTCCTACAGGCAAAGATGTGAAATTGAAAGCGTTCAGACAAGGACTGCTAGCTGAAAATTTACATTTACAGCTGGCAAGGAACTCACTCAGAAAACAGCAACTCAACACTTGAAGGGACAGTGTGTGTTCTCAGTGAAGCTGATGTTGAGGCTTTGAATTCTTGGGTTTCTCAAATGGGTAATGCTAATATTATTAGCGTGCCATACCAGATAAATCTGATAAACATTCTAACGAAACTTGCCTTAAAAACTGCTTTTAAGTGTCATCTGCCCTTTTCATCTCTGCTCCCCTCCTACTCTCCACCTGAAACATTGCTTCCTAAACTAAAGTTAGGGCTTTAACACACAAAAACGTGCATAAACAGTGTCCAGAATTTCGAGACATTGTCGCAGTTACTGATTTTTTAGCGGAAAAGAAATGCTACCCTTCCATCTGTGTACAGCTGACAACAAGCTGGTTAAACAACAACAACAGCTGGTTGTAAATAAAGTTATGAAAGCTGGTGTTTGAGTGTCCTAAACATCACACTTTGCCTCTGATAAATAGTTTGATCACATTCGCAAATCTTATGAGTGGATTGTTGGCCTCAAAGAAAGTTTCATTGAAACCAGCTAATAGCAGTGTTACTCTCACTAAAATGCTTACTGATGGAAAAGTTTTGGTGATCCTCAACAACTCATCTCAGTATCTCTGTCATCCATCAGAGGTGAGCTTCACTGACTCATCAACTCGTATCGTAATCCTTTCACAAACTTTTACAGCCTCAGAGTAAATAGTTGTGGACACGTCTTACTTGGCATTGTGAGGGTTAGTAGAAAGAACCAGTCCAAATTAAGTAAAATGATGTGACAGCGCGGAGATGTGTTAAGTCAAGGAAAAATAACCCACTGGGCAGTATGTTTGTATTTTTTTTCTCTCCTGTAGAAAGTCTAAATTTTGGTTATGGTTCCTGTTTCCGTTTTGTAGCAGTTTTTGTGTTCGGTTAGATGTGATTGAGTCAACACTTTGAATATGTCGATATGTCATAGTGACATGTTGGAGGTTTCAGTAAGGGAATACAATCGGTCTTAAATTCTGTATGATGTTTTCCTGATTTGCAGTTTCTTCTGAATAGCTGTGTCGCAGTATTGTTACTATTGTTACTATTATTATTTGCTGAAATCAATCTTTTTAGCAGATATGAACTTTATTATTTTTGAGTTTTAGCAAATTGTTAATAGGACTTGAAATTATTATTATTTTGTTTTTGCTTCCAGATGTTTCTAGAAGTTTTTCTTCTGCATTATTTACATATCTGCAGAATCAGATAAGCTTTTTCAAAATGACTATTGCCTTCAGTTGCACATTAATTACTTCAAGTAACTCTGATGGTAAATGGACTGGTTCTTATTTAGCGTTTTTCCACTCTTCTGAGCACTCAAAGCGCTTTACACAACTTGTACATTCACACCAGTTCATTTTTCTAGGTGCTTTCTAAGTAACATTCACACACTCACACTCCGATGGATGCAATTTGGGGTTCGTATCTTGCCCAAGGATTTTGGCATGCAGACTAGGGGAAGCCAGGAATCGAACCACCAACCTTCCGATCAGTAGATGACCTGCTCTACCGCCTGAGCTACAGCCACCCCCTAACTACTATTATAGGTACTCTCTTCAGACAAGTGGCGCTCTTAACTATTATAACTACTATTATAGGTACTCTCTATAAATGACAAACTAGCCAAATATTAAAATGCAGGCTCTTTGCCTTAAGCATTACATATCACTTGATATACTGTTGTCATGTCACTTATAGCAGTGTACAGAATGCCACATAAGTACTATTAAGTATAATTTGTGGTCCTGCCAATGTGTCTCGTCTGTGTAAGCGTTCCCGTTTAGACAGCGAACCTTCTCCCATCCAGTCCTCCAAAATACGCAACTGGAGGACAAACACCTATGTAGCCATCAAACCAGGTGATTGGTTGAAGAGTGGGCAGGAGTAGGAAAGGCAGTGAGTGTAATTCACCAAATCCTCGAAGATCAAATAATACAGCAAGAAAAACACCAACACAAGACTGTCCACGGGCCCATATTTTGTACACTGTGTCCATCAACAACAAACACTTTCTACAGGTAGAAGGCAGTCTGTAACTGTCAGAGGACTGCCTTTTTGCTGCCTCCACTCAAACATAAAATAAGTATTAATGTTCTGTCAGTGTGGTGGGAGTGTCTAGAGATGTGGCAGCATCCATGTAAAAGTGCTTCATGTCTGAATGCCAGTGCCATTTTTAGAGATTGGTGCTACATATCTCGCACACGAAAAGGCATTTAGAAATGCATGTGAGGGATAATCACAGCTGTACATTAGTGAATTTTGCATTTACATTTGTAGTGTTATATTACTGTAACTTTCATATTACTAAGTTGATGAAATTTTGGGTTACCCTTGACCTGAAGAAGTGTCTGTCTACAGATTAGGAATGCCTTGATAGCAGAAATCTGGTAGTCTCTATAACAAAATCAATCGGCGATGTTGTGCCACAGAGGGCTGTACAGGGGTGACCTGACTGCATGTATCTATTCTGATTTATTTAATTGTTAAATGATTTAGTCCTTTATGGTGACAGAATTAGAAATGACTTCTTTCTTTCTTTTAATATACATATATGCGTAATAAATATACAATTTTTGTAGTTTCTTCAGGTCCGTGTAGCTAATTAATAACTAAAGGTGTGTCTTGCGTGCTTCATGTCCCAGTGATGTCCCGTACCTGCTGTTTGGTGTGAATGATTCCTCAGTAAAGCATTTCATCTTTCAGGGCTTTCTGCTGTTTATTATGGAATTACTGTATCCATGTCTAAGCAAGCTTGCAGAATAACAAGTAGATAAAAAATGCTGCCTGTTCTGTCATAATTGCTTTGACAGTGTTGGGTATTGAAAGCTATTTTTATTCTAGTTCTGGTTGGTTTGTAAAAATCAAACTGGATTTGTTAATCTTGGAGACATTTGTTGCTGCTATGGAACTATTTTTATGGTCGCTCATGCGGAAGTCGGTGCTTTAGTTGAAGATCTCATTAGACTTGGATTCTTTGAGTTGCGTTTTTTTCTTTTGTACATTTGTTTTGTGACAAAAAAAGATTTTATGGTTGAGATGGGAATCCCAGTAGTTCAATTCCTTGGAATTGTTAGTCTGCTTGCCTATTGATTTTTCTTATCAGTTCCACTTGCATTACAATCAGCTGATTTCAGTTTGTCCAAGAGAAGCAAAATAGTGGCACAGTCTACACCGTATATATAGACATTACTTTTATTGCACAAATTAAAGCTGAGTAAATGCTGACCCCAGCCTAGCAAACAGACACTGAACTTCAACAGCTAACAAAGGGATGAGCAGTGAGGCTACAGCCTGTTTCTACCTGTTCATGCTTCCAAAGTAGAATCACTGTGGCGACTGGTTTTCATGTTTGCCTTGGGTTGCCAGCTTTGTGTTGATACATAAATAGTAAGAGAAAGATCATATAGAGATTGAAAATGTGACGTCATTCAGGGGTAAAACCGCAAATAATTCTGGGAACTCGTGGCAAGAGGTAGTAGCGCACGCAGGCTTTCAATTGAAATCAGTTACACAGCGATAAAAAGAAACAAAAAAAATGGCAAGAAGCTGTTGTATTATTAACTGCAATAGCCGGTCGCATGACAGCCACGGGAAGCTGACGGGTAAAGAGATCGGTTGTTATCGGATTACGTCGTTGAAGAGAA